AATGTACAAATACCAAAATGATTATTCCTTTTTATTTGGCATAATAAGTTCACACAGAACTTATCTATTATGAGCTTTCCAATATTCAATTATTTTTGATCTGCAAAAATGACAAGTGCATATGGCTCAACCAAATCGTTACTAAAGCAAAGGTAATCGATTTACTGCCTCATTTTATCTGTAGAAATGAGACAAGGAATAAATGAATACATAGAGTTGAGTATTTGTGGTATATATTTGTCAAATAGATGCATATGGAAAGCTATGTAAAGGAACATTTTAGGGGAGGACATAACTTGTCAGTAGCATTTGCTATCTTCAAGCTTAGCTACAAATCCAGCAGCTGGTTTCTCCCACTCAGGAGTGATTCAAACCTGAGCCCTATGCAATTCTTCAACTTCAGAACAGAATATCTGTATATGTAAAAGCCTAAGTGACCATCGCAACCTAACGGACGACCCAACAGGCTGTGTGGAGCGACCAGGCCAGCAGGGGACTTAGTGAGGGGCAACCAAATGACCAAACAGCAGGCAGCGTGGGGCGACCAGGTTTGCAGAGGGGGAGTTGGGGGTGACCAGGTGGCAGGGGGCGGGGCAGTGAGGAGTGACCAGGCTGGGGGGGCAGTTAGGGTGACCAGGCCAACTGTGTGGGGTAGTTGGGGGTGATCAGGCCAGTGTGTTGGGGGGCAGTTGGGGGCATTGGACTGGCAAGCGAGTGGTTAGGGGCAATCAGGCAGGCAGGGAGGCAGGTGCACAGGGGGGAGTGGCTAGCAGCAAGGGGCAGTTAGGGGCAATCAGGCAGGCAGACAGGTGAGCAATTAGGAGCCAGTGGAGGTAGGCAGGCAGAGTGGTTAGGGGTGATCAGGCAGGCAGACCAGCAGTTAGGGGTGATCGGACAGCGGGGTCAGCAGTTAGGGGTGATCAGGCAGGCAGGCAGGTGAGCAGTTAGGAGCCAGTGGTCCTGGATTGTGAGAGGGATGTTGGTGTAGGTCTGATCCTGGGGATTGGGCCTAAACCGGCAGTCAGACATCCCCCGAGGGGTACCAGATTGGAGAGGGTGCAGGCTGGGCTGAGGGGATCCCCCACCCCCAATGCACGAATTTCATACACTGGGTCTCTAGTTAGTTTATGCTTCCTAACTGATATTGTGTCCATTTTTAAATTTCATTGAGTTGTCATTCTGCTTGCTATATTTTTGGCTTTTTTTTTCTTGGCCCTAGGAATTATTTCTGATGCAGGCTACTCAGTAGATTAATGAGACTTTTTTTTCTTTTTAAAAAATATATGTTTATATTAATTTCAGAGACAAAGGGAAAGGGAGAGAGAGATAGAAACATCAATGATGAAAGAGAATCATTGATTGGCTGCCTCCTGCACACCCTCTACTATGAATCGAGCCTGCAACCTGGGCATGTTCAGAATTGAACCGGGACCCTTCAGTCTGCAGGCTAATGCTCTATCCACTGAGCCAAACCAGCTGGGGCAATGGGATGTTATATAAGTAACTAAGTTACTGACTTAAAGATGATAAAAATTGTTTTTTTCTCAAATAAGCTCTTGATTTAATTTATATTTTAAAGGTTTTCTTCTGGAAACATTAACGTACCTTGAGGGATTTACTAACTATAGCTTTTCATGTAGTATTATTAGTAATTAATGAAGTAAGATTTTGCTGATATCTTTAGAGACTAACTATTAAGCAACAATGTGCATCAGATTATGAAGCTTCACACCTTTCTATTTTAAGAAGCTATTTCATCTCAACAGAATATCCCACTTCCATTGGTTAATGTTAGAAATTCAGAATCATTAGCTAAAGTAATTGTTTCATGTGATTGGTCTTTAGAATGTTATAAGCTGTAATAGAATTACTGAATTGAGAGCAATTAATTGGATGTATTTCGAATATATTCTAACCAAATTCTATACCTGTCATCTTTTTAAAAAAATCTTCATTGTTGATCCTCCTCCCCCGTGGTTAACCTCTTCCAGCCTGCTCCTGACCCGCCCCCCCCGCCCAGGCCCTCACCACCCCATTGTCTGTGTCCACGGGTTATTATGCCTGTCATTCTTTTTTTTTTTTTAGTATATTTTTATTGATTTCAGAGAGGAAGGGAGGAGAGGGAAAGAAAGATAGAAACATCAATGATGAGAGAGAATCACTGATTGGCTGCCTCCTGCAAGCTCCCTCATTGGGTATCAAGCCCGCCACCCAGGCATGTGCCCTTGACCAGAATCGAACCTGGGACCCTTCAGTCTGCAGGCTGACGCTCTATCCACTGAGCCAAACCAGCTAGAGCTATGCCTGTCATTCTTGACGACCACTTAAAAACTACCAAAGGAAAACTGTTGCTGAATCTTAGTGCCATCAAAACAAACCATCTAGAAAAGTTTTGAAATGCCTCAAATCTATATAGTTTGTACCACCTGCAAATCCGAAAATTTATTTGGGATACTGCCGTTTAAGTATTATCCCAGGGCCTTTTGGTTTGAGGAAGAAAGTGAAAGTTTGAAATACTTTTTCTAAGTTTTTAACCCATAAACCACAGAGGTAGGAATAGAATGTATGTCTAGGAGTCATGTGTTAGACCAGGAGTTGAAAATTCAAACACCTTCACTAGAACCACAGAGTGCTCAGATGAGTGGAGACTGCACAGTCTCAGGATTGGAAAAAGAGAAAGGGCTGAGGAATGTGGAGAACTTAAAGGCAAATAGCCCTTTGAAAGGACTAGCCATCATCTAGCTCCCAGGTTGTTGTCCTATGGAAATATGGCTCCAGTAAAACCAGATACTGTGATTTTCAAATGCAGATGTATAGAATTTTACATAATATAATCACCTATTTAAATATTGGTAATTAATTGAAATTTTAATCTTTGTGGATCAAATAAAACACATCAGTGGGCTGTTAGGAAGCAACCTCCGGATGAGATTCTAACATCCTCTGTAGATATATAAATGCTATTAAAAATGAAGGATGTTGACATGCTGTCCTTCATTAATATTTATGACCACTCACAGGAAATATTTATAAGGAAACTAGGATATTTCATTAATCAACAGATAGTAGGTGCCCAGTAGGTTGCCACAACATATTCATTACTAAGAATATATTACTTTAGTATGTAATGAATATTCATATTCATTCAAAAGGGTAGATGTATTCACTGCATTTCTCTAGTTTGTAAACAGGTTAGTTGAGGCAAAAATAGAATTTCCCGATGGGGTTGTAAATTATTGGTAATAAAATATTAAGAAAGGATCAGAGTTGTATATAAGGGATGATTCTATAAAAGGTGAAGGTAGAATAAGAATACTTTTCAAGTTATATATAGCATCAAGTATTGTTTATTACACAAAATGGGGGAGAGGGTAGACAGTATAAAGAAGATAAAATGTGAATATTTTTATATTCTAGATTGTAACTTTCAAATTGAAATGTTATGTCTGACAAAGTTGAAATGAAAATTTTATATAGATGTAGGTTAAGAAAAAAAAAACATGGAGAAATATACAGATGCTATGAAATAATTTGTAGTTCCCCGGAGGGTCAGAAGAGAAATTTACAGAATCATGGAGCACAGTGTGTCATGTAGCTTCTCCAGACAACACACAGCACCTGTTCAGTGGATAAAGCAAAGGGCAAGGAGTAAGGGCCCATATCTGTTTCTGTCATTTGATTGCTCTGGGACCAGAGGAACATAGTGTCATCTTTTTGCACTTAGGTCACCCCAGATGTTAAAAAAAAGACAGTGTGTTTCCCAGAGGCATTTTGTGCATCAGTTTTGACATTTCTAAACCACTTGCAGAATTTTAAAATTAAGGCTCCCACAAAGGCAGAGGTTGCTATTCTCTCTCCATAATTTACAGATTTTTTAATGAAGACTTGAGCTGGCCAGCCACCAGTCAGATGCCTATTGGAATATTCTTGTTTGCTTTATAGCTCTGCTCATCTCCAAACCCATCATGTTCATTTCTAAGCAATGTTCTTTTTATATACTTGTTCTTTGCATTTAATTCAAATAAAAAAGCAGCTATAGGCAGATTCATTATTTAAATCGCAGTCTCTATACTCTCATTTGGAAATTGAGGCATCCAGATATGTCAGGCTGCAGTTGGGTAAAAAGATGAATACGTTCCGTGCAACAATCCAGGGGCCCAGCCATCAAGCATGAATTACATGAAGTTCATTTTTCTTTGCATCCTCGACAAGATTTCCTCCACTAGCTTTGAGTGAGATGCTAATTTTATATTTTACTCATATAATTATTTATTCTTTAGAAAACTATAACATAAATGAGGAACTTGAGGATTAAATTTATAGGTAAAAGTATACTTACCTCTGTCTTAGAGTTTGGTGAACATTATGGAAAATAATACTTTTTTTATATGCTCTAATTATATGTGAACCTCCACACCAAATCCACAAATAAAGATGAACACAGAAGAGTCCACACCTTATAAAAAATCATTCTCTTCTATTAGCTTAATGCCTGACTTTCAAGAAATTCGATAAGTTCATATTATTTAATGTAATCTATTATATAACTTTCTTGGGAATCGACCTCAGTAAATAAAATGTTGATTGTAATTTAATAAAATCATTAATTCATTTACATTGAATTACAAGAATATTTTGCATATGTATATATGCACCACACACACACACACACACACACACACATACACACACACATATGCACACATATATACATATCCACACAGGCACATATACGAATAAACATTCATAAACACACTATTTTTTTTCTTAGTTTGAAGAGTGATGCAAAAACCAGAGGCTCTGGAATATAAAAAACAGAGAAGAAGGAAGCATTATCTGCAAACACTTGGCTGCATTTTACACACTGACTCCCATACAAGGCATGTACTCTTCATGGATATTAGCATATTAGCAAAATCTTACTGGGGAAACAAATGGATTTTTAAAACAAGCCAGCTTTATAAGTTCTCTCCTCCAAACAACTCCTACAAATACTGTACCTTCCGGAGGGGTTTGAGCTTGGTCTCCATTATGAAGTCATACTTGCAGAGCTCACAGCAGCGCGTGTCTGAGCTCTTGATCCACTGATGGAGGCAGGACTGGTGGACAAAGCGCAGGGTGCCCGTGCAGCGACAGGGTGTGATGAGGGGGCTCTCTTCATCCCCTTCGCAGTGACAGATCCTGGGGAAGGACACAGCAGCCAGGGTGAGATCTCCCACCAATGGATTTCCTCCCTCATTCATCCCAGGCTGTATTAGGAACTACACCCTAAGCTTTAGGAGGCATGGCCATTTCATTCCAACTTGATGCTAGAACTGCATCTATGACCGATATTAATTTTCTTTCATTTGCACAGTCATTGGTTGACTCTTAAGTCATGTTAGGAGGCATTAACACTGCTACGCTTCTACACTAAAGCCAATTTTAACAGCACAACTATTGAGCTGTGTCCCAGCTTAATCTGTTTAACAGGTCAGTGTCTATGGCATATGCTTTCATACATAAAAGTTCTAAATTCGAAGTCTTCTAAGGAATGTTGTAATCTGATAATTTCATTCTTTTATTTTGATGATAGATTTACAGGGGCATGGTGTATCATTTAGACATAAGGTATCTTACCAATGAGGAAGAATTCTGAAAAATGTAACATATTACCAAAGAATAAAGTGGATATATAATGTCCCACCTAGGAAATCTATCTATCTATCTATCTATCTATCTATCTATCTATGCAATCGTTTAACTGTTCATCCGTTAGACAGTTCGATCATTCGATCAGTAGCTATGACACACACTGACCACCAGGAGGCAGGCGCTCAATGCACAGGCATGGAAACATGGAACAGACAGATGAATCTCAGAGAGAAGGGTGGAGAGGGTAGGGTGGGAGGAGATTAACCAAACATCTTACATGTATACTGGAGGCCTAGTGCACAGATTCATGCATCAGTAGGGTCCCTCGGCCTGGCCTGTAGGGATAGGGCCAAAACCAGCAGTCAGATATCCCCCGAGGAGTCCCAGATTGCAAGAGGGCACAGGCCAGGCCGAGGGACCCCACCGGTATACGAATCCGTGCACTGGGCCTCTAGTATTAGAAATATTTCCCTAGAAAGATGCACACAAATTTGGTCACAATGAATGGTCTAAACTGTCATAACCATCACTGTTTAAAAGTTACAAAAATTACTGGTTGCATAAAGTTCAAGTAGAGTAAATCCTATTGTTTCAAAACGTTAATTACTACATCTTCCAAGGAATTCAGAGTTCAACTAATTTACTGAATAACCATGACTTTTAGAGCCATAGATTCACAGTGTGTGAAATAATTATTCTCATCTTCAAATTTTAAGACGTAATTGGTTAACCTGAATGTGGTGAATTTAAGTCCTAGTCCTTCAATAAATTCTTATGATTTAACTAGAGGCCTGATGCATGCAATTCGTGCATTCGGGGAGCCCCTCAGTCCCGGGGAGTCCTTCAGCCTGGCCTGCACAGTCCGGGATCCCTCACTCCTTACTGCCTGGTGGCCTGCAGTGGAGGCGGGAGAGGCTCCTGCCACCGCTGCTGCGCTCTCCAGCCTTGAGCCTGGCTTCTGGCTGAGCGGAGCTCCCCCTGTGGGAGCACACTGACCACCAAGGGGCATCTCCTGTGTTGAGCATCTGCCCCCTGGTGGTTAGTGCGTGTCAGCCACGGGTCTTTCCTTCGTTCAGTCGATTTGCATATTAGGGTTTTATTATATAGGATCAGCTGTTAAAGTTGATAATACCAGTAATTAGAAATATTTGCTTGAAATCTGTTCAGAAGAAGGAATGGAGCATTGAAAAATACATCTGCATAGTTACTTTTAGAGCTCAGTGACAGTGGTGCCCTGGAAGAGTGTTTAAATTGCTGCTACTGCTCTTTCCTCTTCAGTCTGTGTGCTCCGTTCTCCAGAAGCAGGAGTTTTAAAGAGTGGAGTTTTAAAATACACTTCTATCTACCTCAGCTGCCTCCCCAGGGGAAATGAAATGGCTGCACAGCTTGTTACTGCAGCAAGATACAGGAATTGAAACCCAGCCCTTCCCCAACCTCAAAATAAAGAAGTATGACACAGGGCAGCGGTACTTAAATCTCCGTTTCTTAAGCAAAAATAAAGCAAGCAAAAGCAAACACTGACTTCTAGAGTCCTAGGGGTGGGAGCGGTGGGATGAGAGCATAGTCCACCTTCTCCTGGACCGAGTTAGGAAGGAACAGTGTTGGTGGTGGCAGCACGAACAAATGGCCGATGTGGTGGGGACAAACTGAACATTATTTGAGAACCAATTTTTAGTCTAAAAGCCTGAAATACCTCCTGTTTCCAGAGGTGTAGGTTGTAGGGATCAAGGCTTAGTCTACACTGTATCACACCCATTGCCAACTGAGTGTTGGTTGCACCATCAGGCTCAGTAGAAGGCTGCTGAGCAAAGGAACTGTTCCATCAACACTGACTTATTATAAAACCAACCACTGAAAGCAAATTGGGTTTCTGTAGCACTTCATTTTGTTGTGATGCTTACCCCTGGAGCCTTTGAAACGTAATGAATTATAGGGCAAGAGAGGTTGATATTTCTTAAGTCCTCGAAACTCTTCTCTCCCTGCTGTTACACAAAGATACTCCCTTAGGTCAGGGGTCAGCAAACTATGGCCTAGTTCTTCCTGCTGCATGTCCTTGTAAGTAAAGTTTTATTGAAACGCACCCATGCACATTGTTTATGTAGTGTTTAGAGCTGTGTTTGCACTATACCTGCAGAATTGAGAGTTGTTGCAGGGACCATATGGTTGCAAAGACTAACATATTTACTATCCGTCCCTTTACAGAACATGTCTGCTTACTCCCACCTTAAATATGGCGTTTATGAGTTAAAGACAATGCATGAGTATTATGAACAATAATAAAAATCCGGCTTACGAAAAATTACCTCAACTTCTGCAAGGAACAGAAGTTGAAGTAAAGGTTACATAGAGAAGCACACAATAAAAGTGAAAGTCCCTCCTGACCTGGCATGGGAGGCTGCTGAAACATAAACAGTCTGCAGGGACAGGGAGCACAGTTTCTCATTTGAAAAATAAAAACTAGCAGTTAATGCCATCTGACAATTCATCAACAACAAATAATTGTGTAAAAGGAATACGGCTCAGCCATAAGGAAAGATGAAACACTGCCATTTGTGACAACATGGATGGACCTTGAGAATATTATGCTAAGCAAAGTAAATCAGACAGAAAAAAAGGCAAGGACCATATGCTTTCACTCATACGTGGGATATACAACTGAAAACAACAAATGAACAAATAAGAAAAAAACTCATAAACACAGACAACAGCATGGTGGTTAGCAGGGGGGAGTGAGGTGGGGAGGGTAATAAATAGTAAAGAGGATCACATATATGGTCACGGAAGTAGATTTGACTTTGGGTGGTGGACACACAGTGCAATATACAGATGACGCATCACAGAACTGTACACTTAAAACTTACATCATTTCATTAAGCAATGTCACCCCGGTAAACTTAATTTTAAAATGTCAAAAAGAAAATATGAACGTGTGAAATGCTGCACAGCTGTCAAGATGATTCTGAGGCTCTGATTTTTTATTGACATGAAAACTGTAATTTATTCATAAGCAGATTTAAACAACGACCTTGATGGTTACTGAGTTCAAACTGATCTGAACCGTTTACTGATTGTAGAGTCCAACTTGCTGTATCTTATAGACTCCTTTAAAAACAAATTTTGCTGTTACCTGAAGTACCACCAGCATTTTTTTTCATAAAATTAAGATTATTTCCCACAGGAAAAATCAAGAGCTTAATTCATTTTCATTCCCATTTCACAAATTTTATTTTTTACATTATTTTAACATTTTGAACTTTTCCCAAGTTATCCAAATGATGTTGGATCCCAGGAGACTTTTAAAAACCATGTTGAGATTGTTCTAAATGAATTTAGAAGCTAATTATAAACTTCAGATACCTACTAGAAATAAAAAAATGTGATAATGCCATTACAGAAAGAATTAAACAAATCTTAAATTGATATACTTCATACAAACAACAATTGCTAAATTATACATGAAAATATAAACATGCTTTTTCCAACAGAATAACTGTGTGCACAAAATGATTTCAACAATGAAACTGCATTGTAAAACATTCATAATTTTGATGCATGTTTACCTTATGGGAGATTATAGTTTACAATTTGAGTGATTCTGTAAAATCATTGGTGATCTTCATTGGTGTCATTTTTTGGCATTTTAGCATATGAACTGGCTGCTTAGAATTTAATCAGCACACGTTGAGACTTTCACATTTTATAACTTGAATAAACTTCTACTTCTATATTATTTCTAGCTTTCTGTGAAGAGCAGACTACAAAATACCATTTCTGAAATTAAATTTTGAAATGTGTGTGTGTGTGTGTGTGTGTGTGTGCACTTCAAAAGTTCCTTAATGTTAAGTTTTAAGAAAAGTAGGCTTTTTTTTGTGGGGGAGAGGGGAGGGATCTTATGTATCTCAAATTGACCTCCACTGCTCCCCACCCCTTCTCTTACCAAGGCTTCTTGGTTCTGGTAGAATAATTTTTTTCTGCGTAAGTTTTAAAAAATAAATCATCAGTGAAAAAAATATTCATGAAGGCCATAGTGATTATGTAACTTTGGGAATTTTCCCCCCTATTCATTCCTTTGTCATTGCATTCATTCACATTTTCTTGGTTCTTGCTATATGCAAAGGGAATTCAGATAATAGCATCAGCATGTAGAGTAAATTGAGAGGGAGAGAAAAGAATTTGCAGGCAGGGACCCCACTGGGGCAACTATTACCATCATCTCAGTATTAAGACTCTGGATCACCATGGTGACATGGGGAGGAGATGGGACACTTGGCCTGCAGAGGTCCCGAGGACCTTGCTGGGTTTCCGAGACTGGCTGTGGCAGCCTGCACATTTGTAATATGGGCCTCCTGTAGGCAGTCACCATCTGCAATCTGCAGACGGCATCTCACGTGCAGGCCTGTCAACTCCCTCTTCCCATGTTCTGTGCCGCATTTCCGCTTCTCTTTTGGCAAATCTTTCTGGTATATCCCCTCACATCCTTACCTACATTTTTCTCCATTCTTCTCTCTAACTAACTAATTTTTAAGTACAGTAATTATGGATACTGC